TCTGCAATTGCGGATATTTATGGGCAACGGTCGCTTTCCATTTCGGTGGATTCAGGTCGCCGCTTGCTCGTGTGCGACCTTACATTATAAATAAATAAATAAAATCACACACTGGAATATAATGACATTTATGGCTATTTGTACCCACCAACACTTCACATTTACCTTTTTAATTTTGTTCTTTAATAAAAAAAAAAAATGCTTGTTTTGTTACAGTTAATTAATAATGTTCTTCATTTTGTATTTTATATGTATGATTATTGGTCTGTGGGGCGGGGGCCTGGTGATCCATTACACAGGGCGCGACCCTAGTTTGGACACCAGTCCCCCCGCCAAAGGGGAAAATTAATAAAGGTATTTTTTTTTTATTTTTATTTGTTTCATTGGGGCAAAGTAAGCAACAGCTACTGTCTTACAAAAAAACGGAGATAAAGTTAAACTTATTAATATACTTACTTATACTCAGTCTATGCCTAAGTTTAACTTTATACCGCATTTATTTGTAAGGCTGCTAGTGTTTAACGTGCAGGAATAGATAAGGGAACAATCTATTTATATATCAATTAAATTAGATTGTCTGTATGTAATATTGAACAAAAAAACATTCATATTTCATCAACATCAACATGAAAATTCATTATTAAAAACTTTTGTCAATGTTCAAGATAATCTCCTGAACAGCTGAATAGATATTATCGGTACTTTCACTATAAAATAAGTGTGTTCATGAGAATGTTATAGACATAGTTTAATAGCGTTAGTAACTTACCCAGTCCAACGAGCACAGTAAAGAACTTGAGTATGTACTGCAGAGAGGCGAGCGCGCCCTCCGCCTCCTCCGCCGCGCCCTCCGCCGCCGCGCACACGCCCTCCGCGTCCTGCCCCCGCACAAACATGCCTCACAACACATCTTGTTTTTTTTTTAAGGTGGCAAACGAGCAAACGGAAACAAGCAATCCACCGAAACAGAAAGCGACCGCTGCCTATAAACCGCAATTGCAGATGCATTGCCTACTCTTCATTGACGGAGGAGGGGACGCACATAAAGAAGACATTTCCCCTTCCTATGCATCTCCTCCACCGTCAAATCCACTTTTCCTTCCCATCCTTTCCTTACAAGAAAAGGGTGGAAAGAGAAAGGGACTAAAATTAGGACTCCGGCACCACACTCATAAGACGAAACGCGGAATTGCTTCCATTTAACGCCTGTCTTCAGTGTGGTCGTGGTATTACTAGAGGCAAGGCGGCCCTGCAGTGCGAAGATGTTAAAGCGGGCTCTACCACTATAGTACTGACAGTCAAGCCTTTTCGTTTAATACCCATAGTTAGAAATTACTTAATAATATTTTATTATTACTTGTTATTCGTTTTTACCTTTATAGCTTCTTGTATTGGTCCATTAAAATTGGGATAGGTACAGACATGGTTCCGTAGATTGGGGTCCGAACAGAGGTCATTAATAAAAGTGTACGCGTGCAGTAACTGTGTCGCGTCTCTGTCACTGGAAATAAATACAAATAATTAGTTATATTTATAGTAAAAATTGTTAAACAAGTAAAAAAATATCTACAAGTTGATCTAAAATGGACAGGGGAGGAGACACATAGGGAATTACAAAGTATACTTCTATCAGGTGGGAGCGTGGTCAAGCGCTAGCTTAACGAACATAAAAAATACAGAAAGAATTATGTTCCCTACCCTGCCAACAATTTTAACTTAAATTTAAAAGATAATCTATTTATAAAAATTTCACTAATATTAGAAATGCGAGAGTTTATATGGATAGATGGATAGATGTTTGTTAGTTTGTAGCCTAAACGGCTAAACGGATTTCGATGAAATTTGTCATAGACGTAGAGGATAGCCTGGAAGAACACGTAGGCTACTCAGTTTTGTTTTTTTTTTAATTCCACGCGGACGGAGACGCGCGCGAAAGCTAGTACTTCATAAATTCCAAGTTGAGCTTAGGTGCTCCTAATCAATATTAGTTGTTTTTTAATAGGTGACATATGAGCAAGAAACAGATTCATTTCGCCAAAATAGCGAAGCTACCATAAAATTAGCTTTTGCCTACTATTAATCAAATGAACACATAAAAAAGAACATTACCACTATTAAGGCATCCCATCCCCAGTGAAAATATTTCCCTTTCCATTTGTTGAATAGGGTGTCAAGGAGTATAGCAATTTAGTAGCTAATATTTTATAACCAATAGCTTATGGACTGCCTATCCTACTCCCGTAAGGTTAGTGCACCGGCTTTTCGTCCTACTAATCACTACCATCCTTCATGTCAGTCATTATTCCATCGTGTCACCTTTCATGCAATCCATTCCTTTTTATGTCTACCTCTATCCATGTACTGAGAAAAATCAACTATTACAGTAGAACCTCGATAAGTTAAAGTCCAAGGGAAACACAAAACATTTTAAGTTATAGAGGTTTTAAGTTATCAAGGGTCCATGTAATAGAGGTTTTGGGCTCTGATGGGAAGGGAAGATATTATTTTTTGAAGTTATAGAGGTTTTTATGTTACCAGGGCATGAGTTATCGAGGTTTTACTGTTTTAAAAAATAAATGTGTAGTGTTACTGACCCAAGTGCAGGATGCAAGGTGCGCAGCGTGCAAGCCAGGTAGCCGTGCACGTCATGCGGCCGCGCCGCGCCCGACAGACTCAGCAGCAGCCGGCACACCTCCACACCCCCGTACCCACCCTCCTACAGTGGTTAAACTTACATATCTTACTAATATAAATGCGTAAGTTTTGATGAATCTTTGTTAGAGTTTGTATCCTAAGCTGCTGAATAGATCCTGATGCAATTTGGAATAGATTCTTCCTATATATCCAGACTTAGCAAGAACTAAGTTACAGAGATACATTAAACTCGTTTTTTCATATTTACTTGATAAATCTGCAATGGTCCAATATATCCTATTGTGATATATCATAAAGTCTGGAGTAACAAATGGTATACCATTAATCCAAAATTCCTGGTTCCAGAGGGATACAAAGTCCTTTGTTTCATGTTTTTTAAGTTAAAATTAAAAAAACCCTGGTAGAAATTTATTATACTCTTCATTCTTGCAAATGCGAAAGTTTAGATGGATGGATGTTTGTTAGTTTGTAGCCTAAACAGCTGAATGGATTTCGATGAGATTTGGTAGAGATGTAGAGTATATTCTGGAAGAACACACAAGCTACTCACTTTTGTTTTTTTTTTCACATAGATATAGTCGTGGGCGAAAGCTAGTATTATATAAATTTAAAAACGAAATCATACCTTTAAATTAATTAAATGCACAACAAATTCTTTAGTATCCACAGTCCTCATCAAAGCATATATTGCGGGTAGATTTGAATAACAGACATTAACAAGGACTGTCAGAGATTTATGTCCAATTGTACGATGCTGAGGTTCTGTCATCGGTTGTAAAATCCAGTCAGTTAATTGTTTCATTAGTCCTGATAAATATGACTCCTGCCAACTAATTTTGATACCATAGGAGATGTCCTGGAACAATGTTTTGACCCTTAATACAAGATTTTTTCTGTGATCATTACAAACTTGTGATGGTTTTTGTAGATTCAAAACCTGATTATTTTTAGTAGTAAATTACCTGCATTACAGATAAAAGCTTAATTTTCTTGTCATTTGATATAACATTACATAATAGTCGAGCCAGTATTGGCATAAATCTGAAAAACAAATTGATAATTAAAAAAAAACACTTATAATTATGTTGATATATAAACTTTCTTAAGATTTGGCGTTATATTAACATAAAACGTCTTGCCTAAGCTACCATGGTATATTACAAATAAAATATACATTTGATCCTATGATCAAATCAAATATACTTGGACTTTGCAATCGCAAAGGTCTGTAGAAGCTTTGTGGCTTCTCTTCAACATATAATATATACCAGTATAGTAATTTGTTGTTTAATCTGTGACAAATACTAACTTGTATGTATGAGTTAGTGCATGCCTCGCGCTCGGCTCTATAGAGGCCCGCGCAAGCACAGCCACCCCAGCCCAGTGCGGACCTCGCCCATCGCTCATTACTCTCCATAAAGAACTGAAAAATGCACAGACTTCTGAACGCCCGGGCGAAAATATCGACAGATCACACGACGACGCTATTAGCTGAAATAATAACAAACAAAATCAATTACAACCAACCGAAAATACCACAATACAACCTTATGTTTACTTTTGTTTTTAATAGTTTAAAATATTATTAACACTTACACCTAAGTACCGTGTCATTAAATTTATAGCATTTTCACTGTGAGTTGCCTCAAATTCTCTAGCAGCATTCACAAAAGCTTTTAAATTGGCAAATTTAGCAGCATCCGCCGCATTGCTGGTATTACTGTTCCAATTTTCGATCCCGTCCACTTCCATGACACAATATGTGAAACGATTTTATTACTGGAAATTACGCCAACATATCAAATACTGAAAGAACATCTAAACGGCGAATATATTTACAAAACTAATAAAATGTAAAAGCTATCACGATCTTAAACAATTTAAATTTCAACTGTTTGTTGTTGGACTTTTCTTTTTTTTTACTGCTATGACGTATAGCTGTGTCTTTATGCCAGTGTGCACTCGTAAAATCTTCGTTCAAAAGGTGTATTGTTTCTCCTACTGGATCAACTTGCAAATAATAATTTATTTATGACTATCTTTTAAAATCACTGTTGATATGTTACATAAATTAGAAATTATTAGTTTCTTTTCAAAAAATTCTTCCTTGTTTAATAGGTGCGTAAATTTCAATACGTTATTCTTTCAAACAACTTTATAAATAAAGCCAAATAGTAAAATAAATTAACTATTTAGAATTCACGGTTGTAAAATTATTGCTTTTAAAGGAAAATATTTGTTTACTACTATCAGCTGTGTGTATGTCAAGTATTTGTCAATGTCATTTTTACATTTACCTTTAAAAACTACAAAATTAGCGAAATCTCTAAGGAAACGCCAATAACACAAAAGATAAATAGAAAAAACTACAAGTTAACTGCTTTATCTACAGGCGTATACGAGTACAAGTAGAAAATATGGCTTTACCACGAGCACAACCAGCAGAAGTATTACGAGCTTGGCAAAAAGATGACTTTTACGAGAAACAACTCGCCGGATCATTGGGACGAATAATGCCGTCTCAGCATGCACCAAGAGCTATTCCAATTGCCTCGCTTCTTTACAAATCGTGTACAACACTCAAAGATCTCCAAACACTAGGCGAGGAGTACTCAGGAATAGTTCAAGTTGACGAAACCTATCACAAACTACCTACGTTCAGCAATCGTTTGCTTAGCATCCTATTATCAGCATTTGGTGAAAATTTAACTCGAAGATTAATACGTCATATTGAAAAGAACATAGAGGCGAACGCGTCTTTAAGGCCTGGTATACAAAACGGTATTATAATAGTTATCAAAACATTAGGTGAGATAATTCCTCAAATAGAAAGTGTTCATCGAGCCTTATCTTATATAAACGGGGGTCCTTTACAGATAGGAAAATCAGTAACTGGTATAGATTATGTACATGTAAGGCCTGCAGCTGCAGCATATTATGCTCACTTAAGATTACTAGGTTTAGTAACATTATTGCATGCTTTTATTTCAAGTGGGAAATGTATGTATGATGCTAAAAAGAATATGGAGCAGTTATCTAGCTTTACTGAGGTAGATAGTAACAAGACATGTGCAGCGTGTCTAGAAGAGATACTACAGCCATGTGTGTTGCACTGTGGTCATTTATTCTGTATGCAGTGTTGTTACGGACCTTTAGAAAGTTGTCCATTGTGCCGCACACCTTTTACAAAGAATACTGTGGTACCATTAATGAATTATTACCCTGGAGAACTATAAAATAAACAAAAATCAAAGATACTGTGTGTTATGAAAGACAACTTGTATAGTTTTGCGTGGGATATATTTAATGTTAATGTAAATTTATTTAAAATGTTTCTATTTCCTATTTTTAAAGAATTCTGAAGATGTTTAAACATTTTTATACATATTGGTGGCTCAAATAAAGTTTGCTGTGTAGAACACAATTTTAGATGTAGCAAGAAACAAGAGGTCACTCCTCAGGTCATGAGTGGTTGCCAAAAAAACAGCTCTAGTAGGGGTTCTGTGTAGCCTAAGGTTTCTTTAACTTCTTGACAAACTCTTATTTTGCATGAAAGAAATTATAAACAAAGTACTTTCTTACCTTTATCTTCTTCCATGGTAACAATTAGATATTTCCATTTATTTTTATGTTAAAAAAAAATTTAAAAAAAACATCGACGAATTGAGTACCTCCTTCTTTTGGGAAGTCAGTCAAAAATAGTTAAGTTTGATTTTTTATATGGTGACTGTGATAATAAAACTATTTTTATGATTAATCACCTTTATTTAACTCCCAAATAAACATTAAACATAAGTTAAATTAAGTATTCTTCAAGAAACAGAAAAGATATAAAGTTGTCTCTATTTACTATATTAGTGTTCAGAGATTCAGCAGAATTAAATGCAATAACAAAATGCTATTTATTAACACTATAAAATACAGATAAATTCAAATTTAGAAGCTATATTTTGAGCTTTTTTCTTAATACAAGATCTCAAGTAGCCATTTATTTAGATTTTTAACTCTTGCCAATCTTAAGTCTAGACATACAAATAGAATATCCTTTCTGTGTCCCCACCTCTGCCAAATTGACTTTCCCTTCTCATCATTTCCTTGAAAATGGTAGGGAATCTTATCACTTCTCTAAACCAATATTTATTGAGCAGTTGTTTAGAAAAATAGCAAAGAAACTTCAGTTTTGCACTGCAGAGATTTAAGATTTCAAGATAAATATTTAATATCAAAAGGCATAACTTTATGATACATTGTGCAAAAATCTAGCTCAACTATTCATATAAGAACCTTAATTTTTAAGCGTATCAGATATCTCAGTACATATATTTTCTTTTTAAATGAGAAAGTAAGTCGCAAACCAAAATACTGCTCAGTAACTAAAATTATAAATACTTTAAATAAATTTATAAAGTTTACAATATAAAGAAAGCAGTTAAGGGCTGTTATTCTACGCGTAATAGCTCAACATCAAAAACTAAGGTCGAGTTTGGAGGGATAACACCAGGATGACCTCTGGAGCCATAGGCAAAGTCTGGTGAACATGTTAGTTTTGCTCTTTCGCCAACAGACATCTGTAACAATAGTTTTTTATGTATTAAAATGATTCACAAGGAAAACCGGTACGATTTAACGAACTTACTTTAGCAAGTCCTTGATCCCACCCTTTGATAACATCACCTTTGCCAAGAGTGAACTTAAAGGGTTGTCCGCGATCTCGCGATGAATCGAATTTCTTTCCATTTTGTAGTGTTCCTGTGTAATGGACTACTACAGTTTGACCAGGCTTAGGATAGCTGGTACCTGAAATAAACAAGTGAATGCGTAAGCTGTCAAAGTATTCTAGAAATAATCTTTACAGAATTAAATATATGTGTATACCATTTCCAGGAGAAAGAGTTTCTACATCAACGCCCATTTTGTGATACTATTAAATTAGGAAGAAAATTATAGGAAAATTAAAACGAACCAACCACTTCGAGGTAAAGTTAGATCAGAAATCAGAATTTCAGAATCTTTTTAATTTTTTTAGCAGAGTATGTAACACCAAAGAGTTTATAATTTTAAAACAGGATTTTAAAAAACGGTTCCTAGCCGACTATGCTTACTTTTATTAGTATCTCAGTAATTCAAAAATCTCTGTCTTTTATTGAATTTTGTTGAAACGAAAGTTTTAATTAAATATTTTTTTGGAAGTAGACAAAAGATTTTTATTTTTTGCAAAGAAACTACAACTGTCAGTGTCAAAATGTCAAATCATTGAAGCAGTTTTCTTTGTTGTTGTATTGTGTTGTTGTTATATTTCTAAAATATAAATGAAGTATTGGATATTTTAGCCATTTTAATATAAAATGGTATCCAGTGAAGAGGAATCAGAGATGAAAACGCACGACGGTCTAGAATGGGACGTTGATATGGAAATTCAGTTATTCTACGCAATGGCCAACCATAAGCCGGTTGGTATAAAGAAACATTTTCATATGGTCGGTATTTGGGAAAAGTTAACAAATTCTCTTACTAAAGAAATATCAACACAAGATATTTGGAAACATTTAGATACGCTTTATGACATGGCTATGCTTGAGGACACTGAGCCAATACCATTTCCGAATAACGAAGTGATATTCAATTTACCGGAACATGAATTTGGACCATTGATCAAACAGAAATGCAAAGAAGCTTTACTAGCTGATGATAGTGATGGAGGTAATATCAATTTGCTCTTATTGGCCTATTAAAATTTCTAGTCGGTGAAAGTTTTTGTTACACTATAGCCTATATTAAATTTGTTTGTAATTATGAATTAACATAATCAGTTTTTTTTAAATTAACCTGTCCTTCTAGATGGTAGGAGCCCATCTCCTAAAACAGCAACATCTAGAAGTAATTCAAGAGGCACTACAAAAGATGGGACTACTACTAAAGGTATGGTTTTATTCTTTATCTATTTACTACCTTGTAAATATGACTTTGTGGAGAAAAAAACATTCATCCATCTAAACTTGCACATTTATCATTAGTATGATTATCTGGTGGTCAAAGGCCATTAATATAATTTTACTGTGCTCAGGTCGAAAGGATAGTATAAGTGCTCTCGCAACTAAGACGAGAAAAGAAAGTGGCAGTTCATATGCGTCAACTGACACACCAAGCATCAAATCAGAGAAAGATTATGGTATGCATTTTAAATGTTAACTAGCTGTTCCCATGCGGCTTCATCTGCATTAGTTTATGAAAATTTTATATTATTGTTTACATCTATCAAATTGTCAATAGCAAATGTCAAAATGACATGACAAACCTTGGCAATCTTGGTTCCTTGATGTTGGCAGCAATTTATGGTCTCTTTCCCACATTAGGGTTTGTATCCATAATATTTACCCCCTAAGTTTAATGGTGGGAAAATGTATAGCCTTAGCTGTGACATTACTGTAGAGCTTTTTATTAAAAAAAGAATTATTCAAAAATATGCTGTAATTGCTTACATCTTAGGCAACAAAGTGTGTGTTTACGCTTTATAATAAATATAAATAAATAATTTTTATTACTAAATCAAGTAAGATACAAATCAATCAGTTGTAGGGACTTCCTTTTAAGTAACCAATAGGCACTTGTGTTAGGAAGTCCCGCTCTTCCGTGTAACACATAATGTAAGATATTCTTGCACAATCTATGCTATGATAATAGTACAGATGAGATAAGAACTGTATTTTTTGTATATGCATATTTTGTTTGTTGTACAGATAGGAGACGGGATTCACGAGATTCAAATGCATCTGGACCTCGCGAAAGTACAGCTAGTCGGAAATCATTATCACAAAGAGATAAAACAACAAAGTCCAAAGTTACTTCAGTGGCAGGTAAAAGTCTTGCAATTATAGTTTAAATTATAATTTCTTTTAAGTTTGCTATATTCACCTAGTATGTTAAAAGCGTTGGCGGCTCAGGGGTTAAGCACTTGACTTGTAATTTACAAGACCTGGGTTCAAATCCCGTCATGTACCATGATGTACTATTTTCGAATATGTACATAATTTACCTAATAATCATATGAAAGGTAAATGTGTTGTATCTTGCATGTATCAGTGAAGAAATTTAAAGATATGTGTTAGGTCAACCAAACTGCACTAGGCTGCATGGTTCTCTATGGCCTAGTCACTGCCAACTTAGACTAGGCATTGAACACTACAGAGGGAAACATTGAGCTGATGATCTATTACGTTTAGTCTGTCGAGTTTTTTGTTTGTTTAATTTAATTTATGATTTGATTGTCTATGGTTTCCCTCAGCTTGGGATTCCCCTCTTATAGATGAGGAGGGCAGCACGCGGCGCGGTCGCCGCCGAGCAAACACCTCCACGCCTCCCGCGGCTCCCGCCAAGAGGCGCAGGACTTGACACGCACATACACATTCATATCTACATTTCTTCTGACAAACAGACCAACGCCCATGGTTGGACCATAGAGTCCTCGGAAAAGGGCGGGAAACAAGAAATCGTACTATGAATGTTTTTTTCTCGTAAACTACGTATGACATTACTAATACTATAAACATTGTATATGTTATATACAGTTTAATTGATTTTAATTATTAAATGACATGTTTTGATTAGATTCTAAGTTTACTGTAAGAGTAATAAATAAAGTTTAATTATATTATGTTGCGTGTATCCTCTGCCTTGACATGTGCTACAATTAACAGTATGAAGTACAGTACGAAGTTGATGAAATTGTTAAAATAGAAACGATTGTTATTTCATGCGTATAAAAGCAGCTAATGTGTAGTATTTATTTTTTATACCTTAATTAAATATTTTAGAGTATTTTTGTTGAGATTAAAAGAAATTGAACTTTGTATTCTATTATAATTTTTATAGTCTATGATCTGTTGTTCATCTGTGGTTTGTTTAATTGTAAAAATGTCAAAGTGACAGCGTCTGAGCGGCGAAGGTTTCCAAACCAAAAAAAATATTGTATATTGTGGCGTTTAAATTATGATACCTTAAAAATTCCAGTTATTTTATACATAATAGATGATTAAATTATTATGGCGAATCACTATGAAGTGCCCAGTTGGTAAGATACTTTGTTTATTCACTTCGATAAGATCATGCCGCCATTTAGTTTTGATATATTACTGCATGCTTTGGTTGATTTATAGTAAATTACTCGTTGTTTTTGATAAGTACGATATAAAAACATCCGTATATTGTCTAACAATTATTTTTTAACCACTCGTTTAGTCTTCTTGTATGCTTCTGTTAGGGTTGTCAATTATTTATATTACTTTTACAGGGTTATTATAATAACAATCTTATTAAAAATCTATACGTATACCGAAGTTATATTGTTTAATTATAACTGACAATGTTTTTTTTAGCTTGTTTGAAGTACATAAACATGGCTATGTGCCGGTTTTAATATTACCGATGTCCTGGGCGAAACCTCTTTGGCGCCCTTTAATGTCTAGCGCCCCTGCTGTGGGTTAATACATCCTTTTAAAAATGTTTTTAACTATCCTTTTTGTAATATTTCCAGGGCTGGCAAACCTCCGACAGGTTTGCACTTGGATGTATTAAAAGGAGACAAATTGATACAAAAGTTAATGTTAGATGAGAAGAAATGTTATTTATTTGGCCGCAATCCACAGATGAATGACTTTTGTATAGATCATGCGAGTTGTTCGAGAGTACATGCAGCATTTGTATACCATAAAGACTTGAATCGAGCTTTTCTTGTTGACTTAGGAAGTAGTAAGTATAGACACTAAATAATACCTTCTTACTATTGTAGTACTACAAGTAATGGCAGGTATGGTAGTACTAGAAGATGTACTTCAATATTGATAACTCTTATTAGACTCCTTGTGGAATAAAGCCACCTTTCAGTAGAGCCCATGCCCCTTTAATATCATCGCATGAATGAGCCGGCTCGCCTGGTGTATTACCACCACCACACAGAAAACAGGTGTAAAGTGGAAGCAATTCTGTGTTTGGTCTGAGTAGTGTCCGGAGGCCTAATTTTTAGTCCCTTTCCACCCTTTCCTTAAGAGAAATGGATGGAAAGGAAAATTGAATTTGACGGTGGAGGAGACACAGGAAAGGGAAATGTCCTCTTCGTGTGCGTTTCCTCCATCAATTAAGGGTAGACAACGCATCTGCAATTGCAGATGTCTAAGGGCAGCGGTCGTTTTCCATTTTGGTGGATTCAGATGGCCGCTTGCTCGTTTGCCACCTTATATTATAGAAAAAAAATTGTGATTGACACATTGTTTTACGTTTTTTTTATTAACTTTCAAAATACTAACAACTGTGTAATATTAAAAAGAACTGTAGAGTGTTTTATCAAAGTTGTTAACAATGCATTATACTTAGTCATATAAATGTTTACAGTTTTGTCTTGTAAAATTAACATTTCAAATATGCAATAATTTATATAAACTCCATTTATTAATTAATGGCTTACTCACGTCATACTTTTTCCGGTGACGGCACTGACCAGTTTCAGACCCTGAGGGGGTCCTTCTTCAGGGCGAGGGTTAAAACGTTGTATCGGGGTCGCGTCGCGCCTCGCACTTTAAATAATTTAAACTTTATTAATATGATTTATGTATGAAATATTACAACAAGTAAAATAGTATAGACTATTGTTTTCCCAATTTCTTTTGTCATCTACACTCCGGAAAAATATCTTTACATTAATGTATTTAAAGCACTTTTAAAAAAAAACGAAAAACAAACGTTTTCTGTTATTTCAAAATTTAAATGCTGTTTAAATAGGGTTTTTTTCATCATTTTGTCTGTAGTTAATTTGTAATAAGAGTACTTTAGAGTAATTATATTTCCAGCGCACGGCACATACATTGGTAAAATGAGATTAGAAGCAAACAAGCCAACGCAGCTGCCTATCGACTCTACCTTCCACTTTGGTGCTTCAACTAGGAACTATATTATAAGGTACATTTATATTTATCAAACAAAAAAATACATTATTTGTTACCAAAATGTCAATTCAACCGATGAAGAGCTTTTCTTTAAAAGGTCTTAATAAAATGGACTTATGAAGCGCTAAGGGAAATTTGAGAGTAGCCTCAGTGGTTGAGAAAAAAAGGAGTAAAAGGTTAGCGTGGTCTGGGCATGTTATAAGGAGGGATGAATCGCATGTAGGTACACCTATAGGTGACCTAGAAACCAAATAATAGTTTATTTTTGTACTAGATACTGAAGAAATAATGTTTCTAATTCTATAGACTGTTTTAACAGAGAACGTCCAACTGGCAACTCCCGGGGTATAATGGAGGACCTACCCAACACGGAGACGGAGGGAGCTCTGCTAGGCCTGCCCGAGACACAGACTGAGTTAGATGTAAGTTTCATATTTAATTACTTTTTTTTACCAATTTTCAGATATTTCCATATGAAAAATTTAAGTTATTAACTGTTATGTGCTTTTAATATACAGTAGAACCTCGATAAGTTAAAGTCCAAGGGAAACACAAAATACTTTAAGTTATAGAGGTTTTAAGTTATCAAGGGTCTATGTTATAGAGGTTTTGGGCTCTGATGGTTTTTAAGTTACCGAAGTTTCAGTTATCGAGGTTCGACTGTAAATGTTTGACATATTTGTCCGTAGACCAAGGTTGTATGAAATTCTACGTGCTTTTTCAGATTAACAGAAACTATGTTATTTAAAAAAAATCAACCAGAAATAATGTTAATATGTATGGTATTTGTGTGTTAGTTATTATTTCGACATGTAGAATTATTAAGTTAGTATCATTTTAGAATTTAACAGAGTTCAACACGGCCCACAACCGCAGGATATCCATGCTGGGCATCTCCACTGAGGATGGCACTGATGTTATGAAGGTAAATTACATTGTTTACTTACTAATTTTAGTCTTACCCCTTTCTTAACAGAAATATGGGCAGGAAAATTGGATTTAACAGCGGAGGAGACACAGGAAGGGGAAATATCCTATTTATTTGCATTTCTTCTGTCAATTAAGGGTTGGTAATGCTGCATTTACGGATGTCTTGACAGCAGTCGTTTCCCCATTTTGACGCATTCAGGTGGCCGCTTGCTCGTTTGCCACCTTATGTAAAAAAAGGGAGTAGCCTATATGTTCAGACTATCTATACCAAATTTCATCGAAATCCGTTCAGCCGTTTAGGCTACAAACTCTTTCAGGCATCTATCCATCTAAACTTTCGCATCTATTTTAGTATGATTTTCTTGTAATCAGTCTAAGTAGGTAATTAAATAAGTTTTAATAGAGAATGTACATATAGCCTGCTGCGGGAACGAAGCGTTCATCCTCTACATCAGCTGGTGTCGCCAAGAAGCGGCGCAACGTCAGCTTCAATGAGGAGGTGGATATTATCAACCCTGAGGATATCGACCCCAGCGTCGGCCGCTTCCGGAACCTCGTGCGCTCCACCATCGTGCCCAGCGCAGCCGTCACCGCCAGGCGCGCCAGGCTGCATGCCGACGACAGTGAGACACATAGACACAGACACCAGACACTTCGACAAACATTCCGATCGCAGGCACCTGACTTCCAGACACTTGAGAATTACTATTGCCCGGCTCTCAGTCATTTGACCCCTTCACCCCGACTCATAAGCGATGATTCGCAATCTAATAACCCCCTAATTCTCGACACCAAGATACTCCGACCCATAACCAACGCCCCCTAACTCCCCGATCCTCAGACCTGTCACCACCGACTCTTTATCCCAAAACACTCGTTATCCCGACTCCTCTGACCCCCTAACCCCCATTCTTGGTTAGAAACCCCCTTAAATTCAAAGAATAAACTAGAACTTTAGATTCCACAAGCGTATGTGCTAACACTTTCTATATCTTTAGATTACAATGTAACTTTTTAAGGATGTTTATAGTATTAATTGAATGAATATTTGATGTTAACATTGGAAGGTCTGTCGGCGGTGCCGCAGCAGCACTCGCTGCGACTGCAGGAGATGTCGCGCAGCGCGCTGTACGCGGACCTGCCCGCGCCCGCCGCGCCCGCCGCCTCCGCCGCCTCCGCCGCGCCCGCAGCCCCCACCTCGCATCTCAGCATCATCGGCGCTAGGTGTGTACCATTTGTACTATCTTTACTATATGTACTATATGCACCATCTGTACTATTTGTACTATCTGTATTGTTTGTACACTTTGTACTATCTGTATTGTTTGTACCCTTTGTATTAATTGTATTATTTGTACTGTTTGTACTATCTGTACTATTTGCGCTATTTGTACTGTACTAAGACATTTTACTATTTACACCCTGTTTTATGTGTATTTTTAGTGACAAATAATCGCTATAACTCATTTTTGATTGAAAATTTATATGTGTATTAATTTGTGTAGTGTAAATGTACAGTCGGGGAATGTGGCTGTGTTGTTTATTACTACCGTTGACGTTTTGTAAGCGTTAGGACGACGGAACAATAACCAATAGGATGTAGTTTTTAAACCTGTTTTTACAGACAAAGCTTCCATGGTACGACTAATTACTTTATTATATCGTCGTTTGTGGTACATTCTGCTAAATATTTTTTTTTGTGAAGAAGGACGTAATTTGGCGTATGTAAGTATAGCACTGCTTGTTTCCGTTACTGTACATGTGTAAATTCCAGACTGGGGCTGTCGCTGCCCAACCCCGCCCCGGACGTGGAGCTGGAGGGGCCCGAGCCGCATCTCAGCGTGCACCCCCCCCTGCCGCACGCAGGTCAGACACGCACACACGCAGGCAGACACACAGACATAAATCACATGACACCACACTCGTCTTTATTAATCCTTAAATGCATGATGATGTCATCAGTCTTCTTTTCTACACCTAATGGATTATTTTAAAAAAATATTATTTTTCCCTTGATCTATGTTCAATTTACTACCAGTTTCAATTTAAGGTATTTAAAAAGAAAAAAATAAAGCATTTTAATAAACTCCGAAAAAAAAAGATATTTTTACCTTAAAAAAATGTAATTAGACATTATCTAGTTAAACTTTTTGAACGCCATTGATTATTATAAACGAGCTGTTGCCCGCGACTTCGTCCGCGTGGTATTAGAAAACATACAAACTACATAAATTACAAAAAGCTACGTTATCCCTCGGGAACCGGACATTTCTCGGGGATGAACCTTATCCCATGTGTACTCCAGACTTTGTTTTATATCTGTGCCAAATTTCAATAAGATATGTTGAACCGTTGCAGAATGATCGAGTAAACATTAAAAAACTAAATAAATGAATCCCACGGGAACCGTAACTATTCCCGGGATAAAAAGTAGCCTATGTGCTCTTCCAGACTATGCTCTAAACCTGTGCCAAATTTCATGGAAATTCGTTCAGCCGTTTAGGCTACAAACGCTAACAAACATCCATCCATCCATCCAAACTTTCACATTTATAATATTAGTATGATTACTTCAAATAGCGCAAGACAATAGTTAAGAGAAGGCCTCATGATACAGTTTTTACACTGGTTTTGTACAATTTTTTTTGCTCTAATAAAGATTTAAAAACAAATTATACCTTAAAAAAATTTGCCCTAATGTTTGTTAGAGTCAGAATAAACGCAGACTACTTGCTTTACGAACGATCGCGGGTGAAAATTAGTTATATTTTTATATGTACCATGTTTGCTGGTATAGTCAAAAATGTATTGAAAATACTTAGTTTTTTTGATAAAACCTTCGATTTTTCAGTTCCAGAAGAAGCAGGTCCGTCCAGCGAGCCTAAGAAGAAGAAATACGCGAAGGAGGCGTGGCCGGGGCGGAAACCGGGGCTAATATCGGGCGTGTAGCCCCGCCCCCGCCCCGGCCCCGGCCCCCGCCCCGCCGGTGACGTCACAGACTATACAGTAGTTGTACATGGATTACGTTAAGTGGAATCCGAAGAGTGATTTTTTTATCGTTAGCCGCGTCTAAGTGTTGTTGTGGCTTAATAAATGATGGCGGACATTTAAAAGGCTTTTATTTCCCCCCCCCCTTGCAGTTACGGTAGTTTGGTAAGTATACAGTGATAAACTACCAAACAGATGCTGAATTTCGCCGAAATAGCGAATATACTGACCATACAGATGATGTCCAGAAGAATGTTTTAGCTACTTAAGTGTCTTTTATTTCAATTTTCTTCTTTTGTAAGTAAAGGGTACAAAAAGGAATAGACCTAAAATGAAGCTATTAAAAATAAACAAATGTAGATGAAGCAGGAATCGCGATGTTTCTAACAATATATAAAATGTTCGCCGAAAACCCTTTTTTAATTCTACGTACAACAAAAGACGTAAAAAAAAACGTAAAGATAGGAATCAATATCTCCTACAATAATTAAATTCATTAAAAAATAAAAATTTACGGTCATCTTGACAGATAATGTCTACCTACCCCTTAAGTTACAAGTTAGAATATAATTTAAGTAATCCCTTTATTATACGTTGGGATTCAATCGAATTATGTCGGCTTAAGGATTATGTTGCGGTTTGTTGTGATATAGGGGTTTATGTTAAATCTGAGACAAATAGATGTATAATTTACATATTGTAAAGGCAGACTTTAGATAATAATCTATGCTAGTATTTTAAATAAATAAAAAATAAAAACCTCTTTATTGCCATCCAAGAATACACAGAGTTGTACAAAATAAAAAACATACATGAAAAAATTATAACAGATGGCAAAAGGGGGAGGCTCAGCTTAACCGATACTGGTTGAGATCCAGTGTCGAGCTGGTTTTCAGTCACCCCCCTTCCCAAGATGTAAAAGATCACAATCGCAAGATGTAAAAAAATAAAGAGAAAAAAAAATTCTCTTTATTTTTTGGGACTTTTGTTCCTTAAAACATGTCAGTCCCATAATATCTTAAACTAAATACCGAAACCATATATAAACAAACACAATACAAAACCAAGAAAATGAAAAAAAAAAAACAAAAATAGTTTTAACAAATTGCTATACGGCCCTTATGCTAATATTATATTCGAAAGTATGACAAAAGATTAGTTTTATAACAAAAGTTTTATAAATTAAAACTCCCACACTAAAATTATCTTATTTTCAACTATTATCATGTTTTACTAAATACCAATTTCAATTCACTGGAGAAAAATTAAAAATGGATAGGATTTTTTAAGAGGAGTCAAACAATTTCGGACAACGACTGAAAAGACACGGTTGAAATTCTGACATCCTAATTTTGATGTTAACAGCTGCGGTTAAAATATATTTTCTTTAATAACTAGCTTCCGTCCGCGTGTAATTATAAAAAAACATAAGTGATTATGTGTTCTTGCAGACTACCATCTACATCTGTACCAAATTTAATCAAAATCTATTCAGCCATTTAGGCTACAAACTCTATCAATCATCCATCCATCTAAACCTTCGCATTTATATTAGTAAGATTGTAATTTTTCACATTTGTGACGCAATCAATCATTAGAAATTTAACTCTAAATTGTTCGCCTATAAAAGCCAATACGAACAGTTCTATTACGTTTTGAAATCCACTTATATCGGGAGCGTATTGACCACTTTGGAGGCTGCACTCTGTTGCTATTACGTAGCATTATTGAGCGCTACGACCACTACAAACGCTGCTACGTATATTACGAGCGCTACGACCACTCTAAAGTGAACGTATAACTAACATGTACTTAAGTTCAACGATTATTAGACGCATTTATAATACACTAGCGTTCGCCCGCGACTCCGTCCGCGGGGTATTAAAAAAAAAACAAAAGTAAGTAGCCTATGTGTCCCTCCATATTCTGCTCTACCTCTATGCCAAATTTCATCCAGATCCGTTGAGCCATTTAGTCTACAACCTCTAACAAACATCCATCCATCCATCTAAACTTTCGCATTTATATTATAGTATGAAGTATGATTGCTTGTGGGGCCATGAAACTAGCGATGTTAATTTAAATATATCTTAATTGTGTTATTTAAAAAAAGGACATCAATTATATTATCTGTGAATAGATTTAAAGCAGTATAAGTCTCAGATATTAGTGATGTTTTTATCATTTTATGACATAAACATAATTATTAATATTTTCTGTACTTAATTTTTGCTAAGAACATTTGGTAAAAAATAAATTGTATACTTTAATAGTGAAAAACCGAGTTCAAAGTAGATAAACAATGTAATTAAAAGCTCTTAAAAGCGCTTCTGAAAACTGAAGGCTGCTTCAGTGCATATAAATTACGTTTGCCTTTTAACCTTTGAAACGCAGAGACGAGGCAAGATTGCTTTGAAAACTTATAGAAGCTTTTCTAAGAGTCTACAAACTATACTATTCTATTACCTAGATATGACATAAATAGAAGCACTAGAAAAATATGCTTTTATATAAACAGGTATAATACTAAAGCCTACATACAGATTTATCTGATACTAGTTGTAAGCGTGCGGCTTCATCCGCATTAAATTATAAATTTACTGTTTGCAAATTCTCAATTGCAATTGTCATAATACCAACTACCTTACTATGGCAATCTTGCTTCCTATATGTTGTCAGCAATTTATGGTCTCTTTCTCACATTAGGGTTTTTATCCAAAATATTTACCCCCTAAGTTTGATGGCGTGAAAATATATAGCATAAAGCGTGAAGTGTAGGGCTTTTTATTAAAAAAAAAATAATTAAAAGTATGCTCTAATTGCTGACATCTTAAGCAACAAAGAAGTGTGTGTTTACGCTTTATTATAATAGTAAAGATCAGTCGTTCAGATAAATCTATCCTGTAGGTAACACTGAAGACTGAACAGTTTCGAGTTTTGTTACATTTATCTAAAAGGTTTGAATGTTCAGAAAAAACTGAGAATGTGAATCTGTCTTAATAAATTAGCCCGAGGAATAATAACTAACAAGTAATAATTAATAATAGTTACTATTTATATCATGCTAATATTATAAATGCGAAAGTTTATTACAGTTGGATGTTTGTTACAGTTTGTAGCCTAAACGGCTGAACGGATTTCGATGTAATTTGGTACAGATGTAGAGGATAGTCTGGAAGAAGACATAGGCTTCTCACTTTTTTTAATACCACGCGGACGGAGTCGCGGGCGAAAGCTAGTCCTTAATAAAAACTACATGCGCACATCAGCACTGCAATAAGGTAACCATGGAATTAAATTGCAGTGGTACTGGTATTAATATGTCTTGTCTCTCTTTCACCAAAGGGAATGAAAGAGATGTCGATAGTAATACAAACATACCGCAGTGAAGTCAATTTAAACTACGTCATCTCGAGTTAATTCAATTCGGTTGAAGTCTGAACCAACTCGGAGTCTCGACATAATTTTATCAAAACATCTCGGAATTGCGTCGAACAACTTCTCTCATTATCATAGTTAACTGTAGGTCTTCTGATGTTTTTATTAATTTTAATAAATGTCTTACTAATATTATAAATACGAAAGTTTAGATTGATGGTTTTTAGTTTGTAGCCTAAAGTGAACCAATCTCAAAGCATAAATGTAGAGGATAATCTGTAGCACATAGGCTTCTTTTATTTTTTTAATTCCACGCGGATATAATAGCTGGCAGAAGCTACTTAATATTGTAAAGGAGATAGATTTGTGTTGAAATGTGTAAATAAACTCAAATATTACTAGATTGAAAAAACTTTAAAGGGACGTATCCTTACATTAATGTGCGAAAAAAGCAGCGTACAGGGCGGCGTCTTGTGAAGCGGGTCACTGATACGTGATTTGTAAAGTTTGTAAAGACTCAAGCGACAAAGAAGAAAAACTTTAACCATTAGAAATATATAATATTATGTAACGGCGATGTTTGTTACTACATTTTTTAATTTCATGCGTGTTCGCGGGTATAAGCTAGTTAATAAATGACAAAACATTGATACGATATTAACGCAATCTATACAAGCAAAGTTGAGTTGCGAGCGTGCGAAAGAAAATGAAAATTAATGTTTCATCTATTCACCTATAATGGACCGTCGCCAAAAGTATTCGGTTTCAGGTCAATGACCTTTTGACAGACTGTAGAAAGTTCTATAAACGTTCCATAAAAATAAAATATATCGAATACTATCATTACTTTAATTTCTTATTTAAAACGTGAAATAAAACTAAAACCCTATTAATTAGTACTATTGTAATAGTAAATATGTCTACAATATTAATTTTTTGCTTGCTTGAATTATAATTAAGATAATGTATAATTGACAATTTTGCTAAGACACTAATGTCAGGCGCTTCACTAAATAGACTCGCTTACGAGTGCTTTAAATCTTTACAGGTTTAAAACAATTTTTTAAATAAATATAGCACACAGAATATATGTTACATACAGTCCTTGCTGCGAAGTTCTCTCTAGTAATATAACCAAAGTGCTCCGGAACTCGCGCAATCTAATTTGTGCAGACGTACGTAAACTCGAGCAATGCAAGTCTCTTGTACTATATAGTCTAAGAGTTAAGTATAGATATAAACACATTGTATTGCAACACTTTTAAATAGTAAAGACAAGAAATTTGAATAAATCTTACTAATATTATAAATGCGATAGTTTAGCTGGATGGATGTTTGTTAGAGTTTGTAGCCTAAACTGCTGTACGGATCTCTATGAAATTTTACAAAGATATAGAGGATAGTATTGAAGGTGTTCTTCAATAATATACTCTATTTTTTTTAATTCCACATAGACGGAGTCGCGGGCAAAAGCTTGTATGAATATAAAATTATTTGTATAGGTACTACCTGTTAATCCGTCAGAAACTTCCTTTTTCTCAACTATAAGCGGTTTTGGAGACAATACTCAAACACGCCTTCCACCTATTTCCATTAGATAAGTACCTTTTTATATTATAAGGTTATACCATAAACAAACATGACATAGAAATTCACTAGAATAGAGAACCGTTGTCTATAGACATCCACATTTGCAGATGCGACTATCTTTAATCTACTGAAGGCTTTGAAAAAGAATAA